AGACAAACGTGATTCAACTGTTTCAGAATGGACATCAATATCATGGGATGGCTAGTGAAAATCCGCATACACACATATCTCGATTTCTTGATATGTGTCAACACTTTAGATACCAAGGCATTTCCGATGATGCTATAAGACTGCGCTTGTTCCCGCACACCTTGAGGGATAAAGCACTTGAATGGCTAGATTCACTCCCAGTCGCAAGCATCACCACTTGGAATGAGCTAGCCCACAAGTTCTGCACCAAGTTCTTCTCACCAGCAAAGGTAGCTAAAATGCGGCATGACATCTCAATATTCAACCAGATCGAGTCAGAATCATTTGAAGAGGCTTGGAACCGTTTCAAAAACATGTTAAGGAAGTGCCCACAACATGGCTTTGACAAGAAGACTCAGATCAGGTTTTTCTACACTGGATTACTCCCATCATTCAAAAGTATGGTGGATGCATCATCTGACGGGTCTATCTCTACAAGAACAATTGACGGGGCCTGGGAGTTGTTTGAGAGGATGGCTACAACTTCAGCTATGTGGTCTACAGATCAGTAGTTCAGAAGAGAGCACCTGGGGTGTATGAAGTAGATACTTACTCAGCACTGTCGGCGAAAATAGATTCCTTATTCCATAAGGTTGAAAGCATTTCACAAACCGCCACTGCTAAGCAAGTTGTGAAGCAGAGTTGTGAAGAATGTGGAGCAGATCACAATACTGCTACTTGCCCAATTCTGGCACAAGGAGTAGAACATGCAGAATATGCACAATGGGGTCAGCGCCAGCAGAATAACCCACACTCAGAAACTTTCAATCAAGGCTGGAGAAAACACCCAAATTTCTCTTGGAGCAACCAGAATCAAAATAGACCACAAGGGCAATATCAGCAGCAAGACAAAAAGCCAAATTTGGAGGACATGTTCGAGAAATTTATGACACACACCAATCAATACATGGAAGCCAATAACCAATTTATGCGAAGGACGGAAACAACGCTTCAAGATCAAAGTGCAGCGATCAAGAATTTGGAGACACAAGTGGGACAGATAGCAATTTCCATAACAAGTAGAGCCCCGGGAAACCTACCCAGCAATACTGAAGTTAACCCTAAGGAACATGCAAAGGCTATAACAACCAGAAGTGGAGTACAACTGCCGGAACCACACGTAACAAGTTCGGGAGCCAACAAGGAAGCAATGCCAATCTTGGAAGAAGGTAGTGTGGAGCAAACTGACAATGCAACAGAAGATGAGGTTAAGAGGAACTCCAAGACATTACAGGGTAAAAATACTAATGCTGTTAATCCTCATGAGCCTCCTATTCCATTCCCACAAAGGTTGAGAAAGCACAAAATGGATCAGCAATACAGTAGGTTCCTTGAAGTCTTCAAGAAACTGCATATCAACATCCCATTTGCTGAAGCACTTGTCCAGATGCCGAGCTATGCAAAATTCT